GGCATAATTCAGGCAACATTCAGGTTTCTGAAACGTCTCCTATCTGGCAAAGCTGTATCTTCCAGAAACCTGAAAAAGTGAGAGCGTTACAGGAAGTTTGCCCCATGACTTCTTCCTGCAAAGCAAGTCATCGAGTGACTAAGGGAAAATCATGCTTTAATCTAGCTCGTGTGTCACTCTTTCCTGTGTCATACAGACAGTGTAGTCTGGTTTAGTTGACAGATACTTTTTTTTTAATAATTAAATACCTTGGTAGCAGAACTTGCTTATCTGTGCTGCATGGCTTCATTTTGTAGTTGGCCTGAGCTTGTTTTACAAGCTTTTAAGAGTTTTTCACGTGATGCAGTGCAATTTGCAGGGAATGGGTAGTTTGTTCCATTTGGGCCAGTTCTTAATAGCTGTAATTGAAACGGGCCAGGACTCCTCTTCCTGATCTGCATGAGGGAGAAACTGTTTTATACCGAACAGTCTGATAAAACGTGTAGGGAGACAAGTGAACAGTAAAATGCGATTTGAGAGTACTGAATAATGTATAGCTGTGTTCTGGGAGAAGGGGCTGCTATTGGGAGACCAGGGCTGCAAAGGAGTGCGCACATGCTCACACAGTGCGGAGGTGCTGCTGTGTTGCAATGGAGAGGGTGCAGAAGATACAAGGAGTGAGAGAAGCCGAGAAGCGCCGGTCTGTTGAGCAAGAAGAAGGGCAGTGAAGGGCGCGGGCGATCCCCAGCAGAGCTGCGGGCGCTGAGGGAGTCGGGCTTGAGCGGGCCTGCTCGCGGGCCGGGGCGGGGCCGCCACAGCGCCGATGGGGCGTAAGCGGTGCTCGCCACGAGCCCCGCCTGGAGCGAACCGGGGCCAGGCTACGGGGGCCGCGGTTCCCATGGGGACGGGCCCGCCTCTTGACCGGGTGTTTGCCGCCGCGGCTCCCGTGGGACGCGGCCTATGGAGGTGAGCGGAAGGACGGGCAGGTTGGTGCCAGGCGGAGCCGAGCCGCCACCTGAGTGATGCGCGGGCGCCATCAGAAGGCGCAGCGGCCCGTTGTGCCGCAGCTTGTCCTTCAGAGCTCCCGATGCGGCACCCGTGCACCTTCCGCCCTTTTCTCTCTCTGGGGACCAGCTTCTTTGCTGCACCCTTCTACATAGTGCCCTCTGTGTGCTGCCTCTGAGTCCCAAGCATTACCTTGTGCTACTGTGTGCTCCTCTCTACTGAGAACTAAGAGACTTGACCTTGACAGCCTGCCTGCCATCTGTTCTTCTGCCTCAGAGCATCTGACCCTCTGGGCCCTCAGTGTGACTTCCCACCCTCCTACTGGGATCTGCTGGCTGCCACTGGCAGTGTTTTCTTTCACTCCCACTTGATTACATCTTTATGTTCCTCTGTCCCCTCCAAGTGTACAAGCCTCTAGTCCTGCGGGATACTTGATCCCTAGCTTTCTGGTAGCATTGCCTTCATCCATTTGTCTGTCTCTTCCTGTCCTCCCTGAGGATACTTGCTCTAGGGACTCAGTGTCCTTGTTCCTCATGGTGCATTGCCCTCATTTTACATTCCTGACCCCTCTGTAGAATATGTGCCCATTTCTCAGTCCCAGGAGCAATCGTTTCTTCTCACCATACCCTATATTTTACTTAGGCGGTAACTTATGCCTCCTTCTCTTCTGACTGTCCTGCATAATGCTAAGCCGTCATGTACCCCACAGCATAGCTTGCCCTGTACTTTGCCAGAGGTGTGTCACTGCTCAGTATCTGACATCCCAGGTTTCTCATGTATGTTATTACTCATTATCCTATCCCCCAGTTCTACTATATTTTATCTATTCCAGTTGGGTTATGTAATAGTGTATATTTGCTGTTTATATGGCTAACTTAACTTGTAAAGTAAATAACAAACCAGCTACTAGCAGTAAAGAAGGAGATACCACATAAGTGATGCAAACTTGGAACTTGATGTTTCTTGTTGGAACTATGTTGACAAGATTGGCGCAACTAGTGTGTCTATGCTGATTGCTTGACATGCAGCACAGAGTGAAACGGCTGTGCTAGTACTCATGTGGTAGGAATCACCAAGGATGACAGTTGTAGCTAGAGATACTTAACTGATACTGGCTATGTGGCATTTTCTTTTCTGTAGTTTTGAAAGGAAGAGAAGCAGTCTTGGTTTATTAGCTCTGCTAGTCTGTCATGCATGTATTACTCGTCTTACTCTTGATACAGTAAGGGTATGTTATAAAGATAGCAAGGAAGAGAGAAGCAAGTACAGCTTCTTTATACTTTAAACAACGTTTTAAAGCTTTAGACCTCTTACAAAGAGGGATTGTATGGAAGTTTGAAAGCTCTTGTTACTTTGAAATGTGCTTCCGCATCACCTTGTTTTCCTTATTTGGTTGAAAAGTAACTGTCTCAAACATGGCATCTGACTTCTTGTTGAAGTAGCATCTTAGTAGTAACAGCTGCAAAAGCTCCACTGAATTGCCTCTTTCTGGGTAGGCTTTAAGTAAGTGGTTGGACATTATTATTTTTACTGTTTAGGTTGTATGAGTAAACTGTGCTTGTTGTAAGATGTTGTGTCTTGCTTGTACGTACACTCTTTCCTAAATCATCTGTTAATATTCTGTGTAAGTTTACTGTTCTTTTGACTGTAAGACATCCAGGCAATTGGTGCAATTTATATTTAAAATTATACTGCTATTTACATTATGGCTCTTATTAAAACCAATGTGAAATTATAAATACTGCTGCTATCAAAGGCAAAATGTTCCCTTCTCCCCTATTAAATTGCATTTCTAGGAAATACAGCTCTCTGGAAAGCAGTATTTTAAAATTACAGAAAGGTGTGTTCGTTCATATTTTTATATAAAATGAATTGTGTTATATGTAACCCAAACTCACCTCAAGATACCACATTCAATTTACGAGTGCTGTTAATTTAAGTGAGATAATATGGAGATAGAGAAGAGGGTTGTTTTCATAGGAACCTGTGTGGTGCCTTTTAATTTTAAGGTAATTGTAGAGAGAGATTGTGAAAGAGCTATAATTTTTCTTAACCAACTCTTTTCAAGAAAACTTGTGATTTCAATTTGATGATTTCAAGGACGTAATAGGCTGGAGCTGCGGTCTTGTTTTTTGTTCGTCATGCAAAGGTCTTGCCTAATAATGTACTGCTAACTTTAGCTAATAAAACATATGTCAGGCTTTTAAAAAGCACTTATAAAAATATTTTCATGCTTTAGTGAGTATAGACTGAGCATAGTTTCTTTCAGTGCCTTGGGTCCGGAAAACATCTTGTAGGTGTTTTTTATTTTTAATGTATTTACAATTGGGTTGGAGGAGGGAACTTAAGATTTATCTAATCTTTTGAACTGGTAGCCATCAGATGCATTTGAAGCAACAGTAGTAGCTGAAAGGAAGATACAGAGGGAACAAATCTTTTAGTGTTGCATTTCCTAGGTAGGGAGGCTTTAATGTTCATGACACCGACTTTAAAAAAAAAAAAATCTGTATCTGCTTACCCAAATGAAGACTATTCTGCTTACACTATATTCTACATAGTAGCACAATCTGAAGATTGCCAACAGAAAGCAGAATATGAAAATAATTTTATTTTTTTTTTATTGCTTTAGGGATAAATGTGAAATCTAGGCCAGCAGAATTGAAGTCCATCATATCATTGTGTCTCTAGCGGTGTTTGTTACTTGGTGTACATGCTGCAATATGTCAAAAAGCAGCTCAAAGACATGCATGAAAAATTTTATCAAATTGAAAGGTTTTTGGTTTTTCTTCTGTACCCTAAGAATTTTTGAAGAGAGAAATGAAGAGTTAGAACAGTATGATATCACAGTTACTCAAATGAAAACATCTGAAAATGCTAAGAGGCAGAGACTAGTGGTGCTAGAGTACAGCTGGTTAAAGTGGAGCAAATGCTTGTCAAGGAAAGAAACAAAAAACCTTAATTTTGTTATTGCTGCTGACAATACAACATGTTGAAGAACATTAATTAAGAGTTGGAACAGTTTTGTAGGTGAGATGTGACTTCCTTAAAATTGCGTTCAGGAAAAGAGAAGTTTAGCTTCTCTGGGAGAGGTTTGGATTGGAATGGTGTGGTAAAATCATTCATACAATAAAGAGCACTTTGAGCATGGAGGTCTGGTTATCTATTCTGACAGAGGAACACCTAGAACATGAACAGAGTGAGGGCTAACAGATGTGACTTAGGCTGTCTTTGCACCTTCTGTATCTTGGTTTCACAATGACTTGTGTGATTTCTGGTAACCTGTTAGAGATATGATAGCATTATGTGAAAGTGAGGATGCTCCTAAACGTGCAGCTTGTCCCTACATAATTTATGTAGTAGTTGGAGGGACAGTATGACTGGATGGAGATGGCAAAAGGGAAACACAGTGTGGGGAGCAGAAAAGGATTTGTCAGAAAAAGAATGCTTTTTCCTTGGGCACTGAACACCTCTGGGAAGTGAGATGAATCTGAAAGTATTGTGTGTCTCCTGTGTGTTAAATCAAGATGCACTTTCCTTCTATGTATGTGAGGAGACAAATGATAATGGTATCAACCATTGTCAATAATATTGTCTAAGGTTATTAGACATCAGTTGCTATGTTGTACTGTGGATTCAACACAAATGGTTCAGCCTTTCAGCTATTTTAAACTGTTGCAAGCTAATCTTAAAATGGGAGTTGGGTTTGTGCACTCTTAAATGCCTTTTATCCCACCTTCTCTGGTAGGCCTCTGTGAAAGAAAGAAGTCTGTTGGGGCATATCTATCATGGGACCAAGATTTATGACCAATAAAACCAATTATAATATTAAGATAGCTGAAGCAATGCCCTTGTTTAGCTTGGCCACTCTCACTAATTTTTATTATTCTGTATAGACTTCCAAATCTTGTGGGGAGCAGAGAATAAAAGATTATTTCTTTCCACACATCATTCTTGTTTGATAGAACTATTGTCTTCAGCTGTAAACAGTGTCTTAGGGATTATCCTGTTTAAAATGTTAATTGCTGTAAACTATTTGAGTCAAACTGCATTTGTAATGTGGAGATGACTAGATAAGTTTTAAATAAGTTTTTTTTAGTTATTAGGAGTGATCTGGAAGTGAACCTGGAATTCCTCAAAGATCACTGACTGATTTATGTTACTGTAGTTCTGGAACGTATTCAAATTCTAAAGCCACTTCAGGAATTTTATATGAAGCATGTCTTTTGGGAATGGATGGAGGATTTTGAGTCTTCTATGCCTAGCATTGCCCTTTTGCTAGGGTAAGCTGGGTACTAGTCACTGAGCAGTACAGCGACTACTCTTCTGATCTGACGTGCCCTAAGAAGTTGTGGGATGAACAAGGGAGGTATAAAAGTGCCTGTCTGGGCTATGCAGAGATGCTGCTTATGTTACTTTATTTATATATCCAAGTGTTGGCTACAGAATTTGGATTGAGTCAGGTGAAGTGTAAATTTAAAAGCAAAATCATAGCAGAATATGAAAGTAAATATGCATTTAGCTTTTTATGACTATCCAGTTCTAGTTTGCAGTTCTGTTTACATATTTGTTATATGATCAACCAAGTGCTGTGGTCATTCAGCTACCAAAAATAACTGCAATATAGAGTTGAAAGTAATTAGAAGGTTGCAGAACTACACAATATCAATCCACGTCTGTTTGGCCACCTACCAGACTATACCAAGCCTGTCGAGTCTTGCAGGGATGAACCCAGAGCTTGAAACGATTCTGGGTATCATTAGAGAACTTACTGGTCACAGTAGCAGTATTGGCTTTTTGTATTTGTTTGAAATATTGGCCTTACTAGTATTTTTCCACTGTGTCTCAGAGAAACATTTTTTGTTAGTAGCAAATACTAGGAGGAGGAGGAGAGGAAAAGATATGAGCTGCTTCTATTTTTAAATGTATCTAAAATATCAGATTTCTGCTGGCCAGCCTTTGTTTTGCCATTTCTTATGTAACAGAAACTGTGGAGAAGAGGAACTCTGTTAAGTGGAAGTCTTGCAATCCTTTTCAACAGATCCTCCAGCAACTTCAAAAGTTGCATATATTATTGATAAGTCACAATTGTTATGATTGGTTTCAAATGACTTATGAGAAAAATTTTGATGGCGACTTTCTTTAGGGAATTACAGCATCTTGTATTTACAGTTATGTCTTACTGTTAAAAATATTACATATGGATGCCTCATTAGGTCACCAGAGATGCTCTTTAATGTGTTCTGGTTTTGTTCTAGGAATAGTCACATAGATCATCAGCATCAGGAGTGTGTGAACCTGAAACATCAGATGGAGTGGAATATCCATGAACTGGAAGGAGATCTTGCTTGTTAGAAAGGGGTATAAAAATATGGACACACAGTGTTGTGTTGCTGCAGAGCCATCTAGCAATTCTGGTTTGACACTGTTGTAGTTACATAAGCTTTTAGGTTTTTTTCTTTTTTTTTTCATAAGTTGATGGGATTTGAAATGACAACTTAGAAAATTATGCACTACTTGGATAGTAGCTGTTGGTTTGTTTGCCTGGCAGCTGTCCCTTGTGAGGAACTCTTAAGAACATGTTTCGTAATCTGATATTGTGTAAAATCGTTTTCTGTAGACAGCACATTGCTATATTTGTTAGCCGTGGAACTGCAGGAGAGGTCAGCATTAGGGAGCGGAGGCAGTTTCAGTGAGCTGGGTAAATGTTTCTTGTTATTCTCCTCATTACAAGGCTTCCTCACACACACTTCTGCCTCTTATATTGCTGTCCTTTCATCAAAAAAGATAATCAGACTAAGAATGAAATTCGACCTTCTGACTGTGATACTTTAGGAGGAGCTTTATACCTATCTGTATTCTAAACGTTAAAGAATAATGAAGCCTGCTTTCCTTTGCTTTTGTGTAAAAATGTATTTGATATTAAAATTACTTTTAATTGTTTACATGAGTGTGTGTGTGAGGAAGTCTTTCCCATAGCTTCCTATTTCCTAGCAGCCCTCTTGTCACTTTATCTCCAGTGAAATACAGAAGCTTAAAATCATTTAGGTTGGAAAAGACCTTTAATATCGAGTCCAACCATAAACCTAACAGAGCCAAATCCTCCATTAAACCATTGTCTGCAGTGCCACATCTAAATATCTTTTAAGTACCTCCAGGGATGGTGACTCAACCACTGCCCTGGGAAGCCTGTTCCAGTGCTTACTTCTGTTAATGTTTGGTTTATATTTAAAATTTTACTTTTAAGTTGTGTCAAAAAAGGCTGAAATAATTTGGGGGTTTTTATCTATAGCTCAAGACTGTTCAGTCTAATTTGCTAACTTCTTTTAACATACACTTCTGTCTTATTTTAAACCTGTTTTTTTTTTTGTGTGTGTGAGTGCATGCTCAGGAAATTAATCTGTAAGTGAAAACTGAATATTCAAGTCAGCATTTTGTGCTCCATGGATTCCTACAGTCTCTTATTTGAAACACCTAACATAGCTCTCTTTCAGTTCTTCAATTACTGTGAAGAATATTTTCAATATGGTAAAAGAATATGTTAAATGGAGTGGATTACCTGTTAAAATGGCTTCTTTATGAGTCATCTTAACCCAAAACAAGCCAACTTTATTTTTAGGATTACCTGATCCTATAATTAGGTGAGATGATGATGTTCTTTGTGCTAATCACAGCGTCAGTTATGTGGTAAATTGGAGTTAAACTCTGCAGTGTCATAAGAAAGATTCAGCATTGGTCTTAAGTCCAGCTAAATAGTGGCAATAGAAGCTGCAGATGAGACATAAAAGTCTGGAAATCTTGCTCTGCAGAAGAGAATGGAGTCACAGTGCTTGCTTAAGAGAGAAGGATGCTCTCATTAGGATGTAAGTGACCTGATTTATCTTGTTTCATAAACTGTGATGAAAGAAATTGAGAACATCATACCATTTTTGTGCCCAGTTTATTTATGTGAAAAGCTCACAGTAATTCATGGTTAAACAGATACCACACCTCAAGTACTGTGTCAGTTCTGGTGCCCACAATTGAAAAAAGACATGGACAGACTGGAGAGGGCCACAGAGGTGATTGAAGGGCTAGAGAACTTGCCCTGTGAGGAAAGACTAAAGGAATTGGGTCTTTTCCAGGAGAAGGCTTGAGGGGACTTTGCAGTTTTCTAGTATGCTACAAAGAGGATGGAGGATCTCCCTTCACAAGGAGCCCCATGGAGAAGACAAGAGGCCAGGGGTACAAGTTGCGCTGGGAGAGGTTTCATCTCAATGTAAAAAAGATTTTTACAATGAGAACAATTATTGCTGGAACCATTGTTGTAGGGACAGAGAAAAGTCCTCACCACTAGAGGTTTTCAAGGTATGATTGGACAGGGTACTAGATAATCTCATCTAGGCTCCTTTACCATGAAAGCCTGGACCAGATGATCTTTCCAACTCAGGCTGTTGTATGTTCTATATATATTACTGCAGCAAAATTTGTGGCAAAATTTCGATGTATGCATATAAACATTAGTTTTATGATTGACTTAATCAAGAAACCTCTCCTTAGGGCTTAACAAGAAAATGAGATCATGTGGAAAAGTATTTGGGAACAACAGACCAGAAGGACTTCTTTCATAGCCAGCCTGGAAAGTGACAGCTGCCAGTTGAAGAAGACGACTGGAAACTAAAGAATTTCTGCATTTTGTATGACTGGAAATACTAGTTTACAGTATGCATTTGGCTCATGAAAAAGTCCCTCTGAGCTCCTAATTAAAAAAAGTTATTGGGTAGTTTTATGTTCAAGATTGCATCACATATTTTGTTAATTGTCTTAAGCAAATATATATTAACATGGGAGGGTGGTTGTTCTTGTACGTAGACTTCAAAAACAAGTTGTGGTGCTAAAACCAGGCCAGGATTCTCATCTGACTGAGATTTCTTAGGAGTCTGCCTCTAAAGAATTCCAAAATCAATCAATGCATGGGCAGGAAGAGAAGTTGAGGGCACAGCTGGCCAAATTCCATAAGGATGAAGAATAGTAAAGATGACTAAAGCTTTGTTTAAAGCTTTGTCTAAAATGACATTTACAATCAAGCTTATGAGCTCCCTGAAGTCTTGACAGCTTCATGTTTTGAAAGCTCAGCTTGTGTTGAAACTGGTCTTGAAAGCTCTTAAATTTTGCATATGAGGTTTCTCTCATTTTGTGCATCTCTGATCTCTCTTTCCTAGTTGTGTTTTCAATGTATGTGTGTGCAGCAGCCTTTGAGCTTAGGATTTTTACCCTGACAATCCAACAACTTAAATTCCTAGCTCTTTTGTATCCCATTTCCATTATTAGCAAATGGGAAACATGCTGTGGATGGTATTGCTGAGAGCAGTATTGGTGTTGAGCAGTTTACGCCAGCTTTGCTGAGGTGACCTCCAAAGGTGATTGTAAATACCCATAGAGATGGACCCTAGGAGACTGCTGAGCTCTAAGCAATTAAGATGCTTTTGTCTAGTAAAATACTTACAATAGAATGTAATAGATTTGGAAAATAGAACAAGGAAAGAAGATGAGGACAGTAAACAAGGCTGAGATTTAAAACAAAACAAAAAATCAAACTCAAAACATCCTCAGTATTTATCCTGCTGCAATCAACAGCTTCTCTCTGTGTATTGTAGGTATAAACAAATGTCTCTGGTAGCTGAGCAAGAATGGATACTGGAGCAGAATAAAATGCAGGCAGAACTGGACTGGCAGCACCTCTGCGAGAATGCAGAAAGTAATTGGTATCAGAAATCAGAGGATCTAACACAAAGCCTGTCTTCAGCAAGAGAGCAGGTGAGAATTTCACGTTAATGTTTTTTAGGAACCATCTGTTGCATAGAGAGATACGGAGATTTTCTCACCATGGTGTTCTTCAGGGGAGGCATTACCTCAATTTTCTTTCAAAAATCTGTAAAATGGTAATTCTGTATTGTGTACAGCAGTTCAGCAAATATATTTCATGAGAGACCAGATTAATTTTAAAGGACAGTCTCTAATAGTCTTTTAGCCCTTGTAACAGTCAGGTTGGCTTGAGAGATGCCGCTGCTTTTCTCTTGGCATTGTAGCAGAAGAAAGATTTCTTTTAGAGTGGCCCACAGCCAAAAAGAGTTTCAGATCACAGCGCAGCTTGAATTCTGTCAAGGGAACAATATTAGTCCTGGAAAACTCAAGAGTATTTTTGTAAGGGGGGTGGGGGTGGGGAATCCTATTTTGTGAAGTGTACAAGCTTCTGTTTCTGAAAAATGAAACATGTTTATTGCTTAGAGACTGTTATACAATGGGCTAACCATTATTCTCAATGACCAGTTGCCTAGTAAACTCCTTGGCACAGAGAAAGCACTTGTTTCCAAAGTATAGAATGCATTTACTCTGGTGTTTTATTTTACCATCATCTTCCAAAAAATGTTGATAGGCATCAATGGGTGTAGGATAGGAACACATCTGAGAGATGAATCAGCATTGTCCGTATCGCATACAGAAGATGAGACAACAAAGCCAAGTTACTTTTCCATGAAGAGTTTTTGACAGAACCAAATGGATGTGCTTTAAGTCCCTGTCCCTATTTTTTCTTCGATTTTCTTTCTCTCGCTCCCTTTGTCCCCTCCCTCCTCTCCATACCCTTTGTAGTGATGTCCTCTGCTTTTCCTCCATCCTACTTTGAAGCTGATCTACAGAAAAAAAGCCTGCAACTTGCATGACGACTGTTCTTTCTGCTTTGACTGTTGAGAGAGAGCTGACAATGCAAGCATTGTTTAATCACGGTATTTTTACCTGAAGGAAACAGGGTCGACACTGTCTTGAATTAGGTGAATTCATTCTGACAACTTTATGGGGCATTTTTCCATTGCACTTTTTTTTAAGCAGTTCATCTGTTTCATATGTTTAATTCAAAATACAGACATATCTAGTCTGGAATACGCATAGATTAGGTGTCATAGGCTTCATTATGGCTCTGATCCATTACTCAATGGCAAAAGGAGCTGTATGTACAGTTGCTCCAAAACAAAAATGTACTGTACCATCATGGCACATCAGAATGGAAAGAATTAATTTCTGGAAAGTTCACAAGGGTCTGTGTTAGTTGCAATTCAGGGTAGATTTTAAAATTGTAGTTAAACTTTCAAGGCAATGCTTTAAAACAGTAATTTGCCAGCTGTTTAAAATAATGCCTTTTATTTCAGTGTCACAAAATAGTTTTTCTTTGATTGCTACTTATTAAAATACATATATTAAAAGAGAACCATTCAAAATTGCAATCATAATGCTGGTTTGAAACCGTGCTGAAGGATAAGGCATTGCGAGTAGAAAATTGTCCTTTGTAAAGGAATGAAAGTAGAATGCGCTGCAGCGTGCCCTTCTGGGCAGCTGCAGATGCTCAACAGCAAGCAGTTAAGAGTGTATTATCAGAGCTTGCTGAGAAGAAAAAGCAGTGTTAAGCAAGCCTAGTGGTTTCTGAACACAGAAAGTGATGTATTCAGGATACTTTGTGTAAATATTTTTATAAAATAATTAGACAAAAGCAGACTGCTTGCAAAATCTTACCATAGAGCAAGTTGGTTTTCCACTTCAATTTCAAACTAGACTGATTGTAGGTTGATTGCTCAAATACCGAGAGAACCAGAACTGGGAAAGGGTTCTTTTACTGTTCACATTCACTGATTTCTTCCACTGTAACTGACTGTTCTTGTTGGCAAGACTTCGTTTCCATTTTCACACTTTTCTTTCTGTTGGTAATATACTCTCTGTTTTGTACTTTTAGCCTGTAGGATAAGCAGTACCCATCACAGCAGAATTATTTTTGTCTCTGTTTTATGTGAAGGGCTCTTGTTTAAAAAACAAATAAATGCCAAATAAATGCCAGAAAAATTATTGGGAACTAGAACCTTTCATCTTAAATTTTCTGTACAAAATTAATTGTAAACAAATGGGGAAAGTGATTGAAAGTTTAAAATTGATAAAAATTGTGTCAGTGAGTCTTCTTAAAGAAGGAATCATTTGTTAGCTACCCTCTGATTCAGATGATTGAGGCAAGAATAGTTTAAATACACCCTAGTACAGTATCTTCAGCATAAAGGCCCTTTCCTCAGATTGGTTTGAGACCCCATGAGGATGCAACAAATATTGCAGTAGTCATTCTTGACTTTAATGGCGATGTGACACACACCAGCCTGGAAAATCTTGCTTGTAAATGATTTTGAGTATGACTTGGGCCTTGTCTGCCTCACTGGAGCATGCTTATAATATCATACAAGTGCACAGATAAAAGATTACTTGCAGTAGTTCTGAATGCTTACGTGGTGTTCTGTCTAGACCCTTTTCCACTGGCAAAAGTCTGGAACTGCTGTATTTCTGATTGAAACTGTGGTAATTAATTTGTATGTTGCAGGTTGAGATGAAGTTCTGGGCTCCAGAAAAACCCTGAGTGATTTGATACCTACTGGTGCCTTTCCCTTCATGCCTTTTCAGTCTCTGTCCCTTTTCTTCACCTTAACAGCCTCAGAGAAATTGTGAAAGCAGAATAGACATTAGCCTCATCTTATGCATACCTTCTACTGTTAGGGCAGGAAGAGCCACAGGAGAAAGAGGCTGTAGGGCAGGTGTTGTCTTTATGACAGGGAAATTTAATTTGAAGGCTATTATGTTTAGATCATGCTTTCACATCGCACTCACAGACCAGACTTATGACTGGGGAAATAAGGAGACTGAAGGAAGTGTAGAATGACGGAGGAGATCAAAAAGGAGTAATGTTTGAGTCTGTGCGAGGCATAAATACTGACACTGAAGTGTTTTTCTGACATGTCTTATGTGCAAGGCCTTACGGGTTGCCTTTCCCTCTCAAAAGGCAGAACTGCTGCTTTGCACAATTTAAGGTTAGGGTTGAAAACAGTGAAACACTTTTTGAGGCTCAGAAACGTGAATTAGCAGCACTCAATACAAATATTCCAGAAACATCTGGTCTGGACTGTCTGTGAATCAGGATTCATTTAGTGACTGTAGGAATGTGTAGTCCACAATTGCAGGGCTTTCTAATACTCTTGTACCAAATAGTATCTGCATTTCTTAAATGGCTGATGACAAATGTTTCCATCAGCTACAGAGGATTTTACAGAGGTAGAATCTAAATTCTGCATTCTCTGTTTGGATGAAACCACAGTTATAATACACTGTCATCAGTCTGATGTAACGTCTTTAAATGTGTTTGCAGTCACACTCTGAATGAAGAAAGAGAAGAGGTAAATAATATTGGCACCCTAGTATCCTTGTCCTTACATCCCATGGATCCTACTAAAACTTCTTCCTGATGATTGTGCTAGAATTTCAAGGAAATCCTGGGTAGAAACATCAGGAAACGTGTTCTCCAATCAATGTCTGTGTTTGGGTTTGTGGGGTTTTGGGGGGTCTTTTTTTGGTTTGGTGTGTTTTTGTTGGTTTTGTTTGGTTGGTTTTGGTTTGTTGTTGCTGTTGCATCTGGTTTTCCTTTTCCTTCCCTCCCCCAAAATTGTGAATTTGGAAATTGAAGAGGCGCATGAGGGGAAGCTTTTCCATATTTGTCTTTTTTTTTTTCTAAACATATGTTGCTGACTGTTGACAAGAATTGGATTCTGGAACTAGCAACCTTTGGTGTAACAGAGTAAAGCAGTTCTTACACTTTGTGGTCTAGAATGTTTCACATTTCTAGTCCTGATTACACCATCATTTTATTCACACAGGACTACCTTTCCAAACTAAATCTCTAGAATAATCTGTAAGGTTGCATGCAGCCTGTGGAGAAAATGCTGAGCAATTCCCACTCAAAAATTTCAGAAATTGAATTATTCTGGGATTACTCGGAAATAAGCAAGCTGCTGGTATTTTACTAATATCAGTCAGGTTTTTTACAGAAGTTAAACCAGTTTTGGCAACTTTGCTTTTGTCAGTTTCTTCAGTTCTGGAAATCTAAGAATGACATTTGCTCATCAATTCATATTTGTATCAAGTACAATTCCAAAAGTCAGGCTTCAAAGCCTTTGTGAAGGCAGAGCTTCAATTGTTATCTGATAGATGTTCCTTTTGCATTGTTCACTGTTAGCTTATCTGTAACTAAAGTACAAACAGAAGATACTGCTACTTATCTTAAATCTTAAGTGCTGAGAGGTTTTCTACCTGTTCTCCATTGTTCAGGTTGTCTAGGTGTAATCCATGCACTCCTTCCTCTTTTCCAGTTTAGCAAAGTATGTCCAGCTTCTTCATGCTCTTGTGAACAAATTATCTCCAATGACACTTTCAAGAATTTGGCTGGTCAGAAAAGTGACTGCTGTTGAACCAGTAAGTTCTTTAAGGAGATGGGTTACCCACACATGGAAGAGCTAGAGATGGCACACTTCAAAGAACAACAGTGATAAGACAGAGCTATCTCTGTGGCTATTCTCCTCCCCATTTATGCCTTCTTCTATATCTCAGGTTCTCTACATACCACTTTTTTCCCCTGACAAATCCCCAGAATAACCAGATGTCATTTTTCTCTTTCTGTGGTTCTTTTCTCCCAAGTCTGTTCATGGATTGAAAGTACTAGGATCTCTGTGTGATGGTGTGGAGAAAATGTGTTGCTCATTAATGAAATGTGTTGTCTTGTTATTTTACAGATATTTCAGTATGATGATAAAACTTCTCTAAGCAAAAATATTCCTACCTTGGAAATAAAAAGGCTTCAGGAGCAGAATGCCAGTCTTCGGGCTGCTGTTGCACAAATGAGGAAAGAAATGGAGAGTCTTGATAAGCAGATGTCCTCTCTTCCTTTGACAGAAAATGGACAGCTTGCAGAGCAAGGTGACTACTCTTGCCACAGAACTCTAAACTCAGTTAATGAAGTGTAGCTGTGGTGGTCATGACCTAGGAGGGCTATCCAGCCCATGTGTATGTATAGATCATGACTGTGGGGTTCTCAAGTTTCCACAATACATCAACACACAGAGGTCTGAGAGTCTCGGAATTTCTATATTGCAAATTACTACAAAGCTATTATTAGTAAAAAGAAATATGCGCACACTATAAGTCACTACAAAATTACTGTGAGGAAAGTAAATGTGTGTATATATATTGCAAGAGTAAAGCAAGTATACATATATTACAAGTTATTACAGAATTCCAGATAGTGAAGCAAATATATAGAATCACAGAATGGTTTGGGTTGGAAGGCACCTTTAAGGGTCACCTAGTCCAGCCTCCCTGCCATGGGCAGGGACATCTTTCACTAGAGCAGATTGCTCAAAGTCCTGTACAACCTGGCCTTGAGCACTTTCAATGATAAGGCATGCACAACTTTCCTGGGCAATCTGTCGCAGTGTCTCACCTCCCTCATTGTAGTTTCTTCACAGGAGAAGTATTCAGGCCCTCTGATCGTATTAATGGGCACCCTCTTTAACAGGTCTATGCCTTCCTTACAAACCTTTCCTGTGCATGTGCCCGTAATATATTACGTGAGGTGCTACTGGTGTGGCAGTCACCACACCACTCCCAGAAGTGGGGCTAAATGATAATGGGGGGAAAAAAACGTCTCGTTTCAAAGATGCTCTACATCACTAAATCTTGAGTCAACCAGGTCCCCCAGTGAGGGTCAGGTCTGCCTGGGAAACGTCATGCAGGGAAGCTCTTGCAGAGAGGCTCATTTTGGGTGGGTAGGTAGGTAGTACTTTTTTGTGTGTAGGTATGTAAATGAGCATAGGGTATCAGTTCCAGGTATAGTTGTTGTGATTCCTGTTTTCATGGAAGGTCAGTTTGTTAACACAGTTTCTTTGACCTGCATCCACCAAGCTTTCTTTGTCTTGCTACTATGGCTGAGTGCTAAGGAAATGCCCACTAACAAACAAGAGTAGTCTTTATTTAATAAACAATAAGCATCCTCTAGCTGTGTTAATAATGAGACATTAATAATCAATTAAAACAAAACCTCTGTTAATTTTAAATAAAAAACAAATTCAAGCATAGTTTTTGTCACAGGCAGCTCAATTAGTCCAGTTTTTTGAAGATGATGTTATCCAATATATAATAGAATTATGGCTGTTAAAGTTGGGCAGTATCCAAGAGATGCAATAATCTCTGTCAGCTGATAAACATAAGTTTTCAGAAATGCGTTTATCTGTTTTCTTTATGGCTGAAATACTTCATTCAACTAATCTTTCTTGTATCCTTTTTTTTAAATTTATGGAGATTATATTCACTCACTAGAAGAGATTATAATATTCCATCTGATATTTTTAAGACAATGTAATTTGGAGGAGGGCTTCTGATTTCCAGAAAGTAACCTGTTCTTTCCCATGACTTGTCCATGTGCATCCATAAGTTGGGACTCACATTTTTAATGTCATTAAAAGAAGAATTGTTCAGGATTAGCTTCCATTTATTGGTGATATTTTTTTCAGCTGTGACTGAAAGAAGCTGTTGTACCTTAAATGTTCTTGTTATGTTCAGTATTGTCAGTTTCCCAAGAATGATTACCTGAGGCAGTACTGGGAGAAATAAAAACTTCGTTGTGCTCCTTTACCCATGAATTGACCTTTCTCATGTGTCATCTCTATTTGCATTCTTACTTGGTAGCTGACTTACGTTTGCATGTTTTAGGACTACTATTATTTTTCTGTTTCTTCAGCTCTGTTCACAATATATCTCCTGAAGTGGTATACATGCATAGTAATAGAACAAAAGGCCAAAGCAGCTGTTGCTATGAAAGCCTAAACTGGATAAATACATATATAGTTATATTATACTTATCTTCTCTTTTAGGTTTATTGTGCACAAACAGAATTTCAACTGGAACCACTTTGAGCAATACCCAAGTCAGCTCAGTTAACTTGGATTGTATGGTAAACCCAGGTGCAGAAAAGGTATGAAGCGGTTTAAACTCCTGAAAATGCCTGCATGTGCATGTGTGTGTAATTAAATACATATTATTTTTATTTCAATAAATATTAAAAACTCAGGCAGTATGTGCTTATGTGGTTAGCTAGTAATGAGTGTAAATTAGATGAAAGCCAGCAGTGATTTATTTCAGCCAGACTTAGGCTCATCCTGTCTTGGGAATACGTTTTGACTGGCCGTCCCGTCACAAATCACTCCTGATCCTTCAAGCCCTTCTGGGTATTTTTTCCGCACTTGCAAATTCTCAAACTGCAGTGTGTCGCCTCCTCAAGTTTTCCGCTGTAAATCCATATTTCAGCCTTTTTCTGAAGTGCCAAAAGCCTTTCAATGCGCGTTCTGATCAGGAGGGAGGACGCGCGGGAGCCGTGTCCCCGCGGGCGGGCAGGAGCTGCCGAGCCCTGCTTCCCCACAGGCCCCGCTAGGGAGCGCCAGCCACCTGCAGCGAGTGCGGGCGAGGGGCTCGCTGGCGCTGGAGCGCCCTCACACGGCTCCAGGGCTCGCAATGTCATTCCCATCGCGCTGCTGTAAAGGGCAGGACCGACATCGGCGTTAACTTGCAACAAGCGTCTGTCTGAAAAAGTAACACAGGAGTTGAAGACTGGGACAAATATCGAATACTACATAAGGCTTAAGTCACTGTATGTTCTCCCCTTCTGTCTCCCAGGAACTTCATGGTGTAGTAAATGGAGTCTCATGTATGGTAGGTTAAAATACAATGAAAAAATAAGGGATTTCTAATTTTGAGGTAATCTGTAAGATCTACCCATAGAAGTTGCATGCTTTATTCTTACTGTTACTCACCAGTAACCATCTAAGTTCAAGAAAATGGAAATAATAGCCAGGTAATAAACAAGGATGAGTGGTGGAGCCTCTCTCTCTCTGGAGGCATTCCAAACCTACCCGGGATGGTTCCTGTGTGACCTGCTCTAGGTGGCCCTGCCTTAAGGGCAGGTTGGACTGGATAATCTCCAGAGGTCCCTTCCAGGCCTGGTGATTTTGTGGGCGTTAAAACTAAGAGCTTTAAGAACTGAAATAATACCAATGATCAAACAAAATTGTGGGGCCTTGGGAACCTTGTGTGAAAACATGCACAAGCCACCAGGCACAGATCATGTTTAATCTTAGTTTTATCTTTTTACTGAACATAGAAGGAGATCTGTTCGTTCCTGCTGTCAAATTATAGTTAGCAAATCAGTGTGTGGCAGTGTAGACAACATAGATTTATGTTTTCTTTTTGGCCACTTCCAGAACTAGGTGAAAATTTAATCTTATACCATCTATTCTTTTCTGTTGCCGTAAACATTTTATGAATGACTGTCGAAGATGCATTCTTATTTTCTTCACATTTCTTTAAGTGGGGATATAGCCTTAAAAGAAAAGTAGGGAGTGGCTTTGCGTTGGAGACGGTAAGATAGGAATGGAGCATTCTCTATGACAGAGATTAATCCTTTGCTAAACTGTAATTGAGTGCTCAGGGCCAGATATGAGAACATTTTTCAGGCAGCAATGTGCATCTTGTGTGTGAAATGCTGAATCACGTGTGCTTTATATATACAGGCATGTAGTAAATAGCAGATGTGCAGACCAAAACTCGAAATGAACAAAATGCTGGAATTGTAGTTAATGCTGTCTTCACTGATGCTGAGCTGTCATTTCCTGTATTTCTGCTGACTGCTTTATTTCTTCTTCCTTGGTACATAGCAAGCCTTCTTAGGCATAGACTGGCAACTGGAAACAGTTCTGTTACAAACAATTGGCAAAACTTCATCAGAATTCCTTACTGCATATGAGAAGTGCTTATCTCTTAACATTTTTCTATACTGTCTCTGTGCTGCTTCCATTTACCATTTATTAATTACATGCTCTTAAGGCCATGGTGAATTACATGCAAAAATATCCCTGGCTTGGGGAGTTTAGAATCTGTTGAGCAATAGTGGTAGCTAAAAATGGGGGAGCAGATATGGAGTCAATATGAAGAGCTATAATGATAGGGTTTTTTTCTCATTTAATATAACAGAGGTTCTGGGACCATAATATCAAAATTACTATAGAGCTAAAAAGTAGCTAAAGAAGAGGAAAGTTTATGTGGAAACTAGTAAAATAGGCATGTAGATTATTACATGCATGTGATTTTTCTTCTCTTCCTTTTGTATCAACTCTGAGGAGAGTTTTTCCTCTCACCATTTTTTATTACCAGCTTTTCTGTGTTTTCTCTCTTTTGTATTGTAGAGTTTTACTCTGGGCATGGAGCTAAAGGTAGAAAGATTTCTGAGTTCAACTCCTAACTCTACAGTGTACAACCTCTCACCTGAAAAAAAAATCTTCTGTGTAATGCTGCTGAATGTTTTTAAGAAAAATTCAGGAAAAATAGAAGTTTAAGCAAATGGTATTCCTCCCACAGCTCTGTGATGTGCTTTTGCATCTTGGTACAGTGAAGATGGTACATGGTATGACAACCAGTGGTACTGTTAATTGGTCACTGCCTTGACCTCTTTTTATGTTGAGTTTCAGTGTGTTAATTTAACAGTTCATATGATGAGAGTCGAATGTAATAATTTGTGTCTGCTTTGGTGTAAATTGCTGTATGTACACCAAAGTGGTGTTCTTTTTTTCTTTCACCTTGGTACCTTCATGTTTTTATATTCTAGTCCTGCAGTAATTTCTCCACCTTTCTGCCACATAGTGTTTGTGTACCTGTATGCTTTCCATGAGTGTTCTAAAGGGCTTCCTCTTTTCTGGTAAAACTATCCAAAGAAATAAGAGAATGGGAGTTGCATGACCCACTGAGACAATGGTGATTGGGTCTTTTGGGTAAATATTTTATCATAATGTGTATCTGCACATAAACACAATTAAATTTGCAGAGACAAAACCATTTTTAGAATCTGTACTTTTTACTCTTCAGCCTTTCTCTTAAAAAATAATGTTTTAGGTTGTATTTACCTCGTGTGTATGCATGCAATGCTTATACAGAGAAGGGTTTGTGATAGTTTGCCATCTGCAGTAAAGTGCCTTTTCCACATTTTATTGTAAAATTAACTGCTCTCTAGTTTACACTTATACAGTGTTTATCCTATGTATATTACTTTACACTTACAGTTAACAACATTTGTGGGAACATCCCAGGCTGTTACCGTGTTTTGCCCTATATTGCTAAGAGTAGGTTTCATTTGCCCTTTATTGTGAAGAAAATTCTGAAAACGGACCCTCAAAAATGCCTATAGATTTCAACTTTACACTTTTTCTTCAACTGGCTTCTAGTGTGTGCTTGTAGAAATTTCTAAACCTACGGACTTCAGTATCAAAATATTCATTATAAACACTATCTGTCTTTTTCCAGGGGCCAAAAGCCGAAGTTATTGAACAAAAGATGGTAGATCTTGAGCTACAGTTTCCTGACATAGGTCCTGGTGTCGGTCTTTGGTATGGTGTCAGCGGCACTCTACAAGGAGTGCAAAATAAACTGCAGGAAGCAGCAAGACAAATTTCTATTCTGAGTGAGGAGAAGCAGCAGCTGATTGAAATAGGAAATGGACTCAGGGCAGAACTCAGAACAGTATTAAAGGAAGGTAAATTTATTCTACAGAAGAGTGCAAGCTTATGTATTTAGAATAAAACCTGGGAATCAGTTCATCCTTTGAGCTTTAATATGAAGACAAAGTGCTGGACCTGACTGATTCTTGATCGGTATAATTTCTGTGAGACTGTGGTGCTAATTGTTGCAAGAAGGACCATTCTGTGATAGGAGGTACTAGCACAGAACAATAAGAGCCTGTAGGCAGTAACTTTTGCTGATGAGCATCTTAGATGAAGGACTCCCTGGTGCTCAGATGTCAGTGTGGGAAATAGAAGTTGAATTAAGACTTCTTTCAAGAGCAGAAAAGAAGTAGTTTATCCCTTGGAATAAAAACTAATGCTTCATGAAAGTGGAAAAGAAAGTAGAATAAGCTTACTATAGAGTAAACTTGAATCAAGAGTATACATAATGTAAGAAGATTTCACTGTGGACATTTAAGTTCCATTCAACCATTGCTCTGGCAAAGAAGCAAAGGAGAAAAACACAAGGCCCATTTCTGTATAGCATTGATTCCGTCTGCAATGAGAAGGCGTGTATTGTGTTTCACTGATATCCACTATAAACATAGGCTGGGAATGTAGTATTGATGACAACAACAGAGAATGTCTTCCTTAGTATTTTCTCTCCTTTATAGGACTTTTGCATCCTGTTAGCTCTAAGTGCTGCACAGTTTGTGTTGTATCTGGTAGCCTTTTTCCAAGAGAGCTTGTCAAAAGAATACAGTGTCAGCTATCAGCTTTAAAGCATCTACAGCACAGGCTTACAACACAGGTAATAATATGCTCTTTAAATCTAGTGATAATGAGCAGTTAAGCCAGTTGTAATTCCATGAATAGAACTTTCCTTAAAATTCTGTATTTAAATATCTTTTACTGACTTTAGCTCAGATTTTCCTTTGGTACCTTAGAAGATTTCATAGAATCATAGAATATCCTGAGCTGGAAGGGACCCATGGTGATCTTTTAGTCCTGGCTCCACACAGGGCAACCTAGAATTTAAAACTTGTATCTAAGAGGATTGTCCAAATGCTTCTTGAACATTGACAGGTTTGGGATCGTGACCAGTCCTTGGGGACCTTGTTCTAGTGCTTGACCACACTTCTCAAGGAAGAACTTGGGACTAATATGCAGCCTGCATGAAGCTTTAAGCCATTCCCTTGCATCCCAGCACAGACACCAGAAGGAAGAGATCAGCACCTCCCTCTCTGCTCCCCCTCATGATGAGGTTGTAGACAGCAGTGAGGTATTCCTCAGTCTTCTTTTTTCCAAGCTGAGCAAGCCAAGTATCCTCAGCTGCTCCTTAGAAATCTTACCTTCTAGTCCTTTCACCACCTTTGTTCCCCTCCTTTGGACACATTCTAATATTTCTATGTACTCCTCGTGGAGTTCAAAACTGCACACAGTACTCAAAGGGAGGCCACACTGATGCTAGGTATAGCAGGATAATCTCTCCTTTGACCAGGCTGTACTGTGCCCATTGCACCCCAAGATATGGTTGGCCCTTTTGGCCACCAGGGTACACCATTGACTCATACTGAGTTTGCCATCAACCAGAACCCTCAGATCCCTTTCTGCAGGGCTGCTTTCCAGCCTCTTGTCTCCCAGTGTATACAGACATCCAGGATTACACTGGTAATTCCAGGTGCAGAATTCAGCATTTCCTCTTCTTAAATTTCATATAGCTGGTGATTGCCAAGTGCTGCAGTCTATCGAGATCTCTCTGTAAGGTCTCTCTATCTTGAAGGGAATCAGCAAGTCCTCCTAGTTTAGTACCATTGGCAAACTTGCTTAGTGTGCACTCGATTCCTGTGTTCAGGTTACTGATAAAAACATTGAAGAGAACTGGCTCTAAAATTGAGCCCTGGGAAACACCATTGGTGACTGGTTGCTAGGCAGTTGCTATCTCATTTACTTAAAGGGTTATAGTTGGGACTCCAAAATTAACTTTTTTAAGCATGATTTTCATCCAAGGAATTTCAGAAACACTTGGTTAATGCAGCATAAATGCAATCCTGAATTACAAGCATTAGTTTCATAAAGCTTAGCTTTAAATAAGTAAGGTAACCATTTGAAGGATTTGTAGTGGGTTCTAAGATAAACTTGAAATTGATTAATCAGCACATTTTTAAATGTCCACAGTGGTGGGATTTTAAAGCACCCTTGTCCACATTATTGTAATAGCACATTTTCCATCTATGAAAGCAGGCTATGTAATTAACCGATCTCTTATCTTTTGTAATTAGAATACAACTTTTTAATGGATAAATTGCAGCTTTCATCAGAGAGACAAATGGATAAATCCTTACTCCCTTAGTAGTTAGTGGCAGATTTCCCAGTAACTTCAATAATCAGGATTTCACTATGTACTTTACTTACTTGATCAGCTGATTTGTTCCTGTGAGGATTGAGTCAAAGCAGCTGATTGTTGTAGTTTTGAGAGCAGTAAAGAATGTTCTTTCAGAAAAAGTGAGGTTGTTGCTCCAATGTATGAAACTCCAGTAGAATTATTAACCAAGTTCAGCTGGGGAAATACTTCCTCTGGGAACATCTCTGGGCAGCTTGTTCCAGTGTTTGATCACCCTCCCAGTAAAGAAGGTTAGAGTTTGGTTTTTTGGTTTGGGTTTGGTGGTTGTTTTTGGTTTTTCTCCCCTTATCCTTAAACAGTGTCCTGTACTTGAGCTTCTGCCCATTGCCTCTTGGTCTTCCACTGTACATCACTAAGAAAAGTCTGCCTTAGTCATCTTTACTTCCTCCCACCATCTGCATCAAGTGCTTATACGTGTTGTAAAGATCACTCCTGCCCTCTCTCTTCTGGAGGCTAAAGAAGGCCAACTTCCCTATCCTCTCCTAGTATGTCAGATGCTCCAATTCACTGCTCATCTTTGTGGCTCTTTGTTGGACTTGCTCCTGTATCTCTATGTCTGGTACTGGGGAGCCCAAAAGTGAACACAATACTCTAAATGTGGTTGCACCAGTGCTTGGTAGAAGGAAGTAATCACCTCCCTTGGCCTGCTGGCAGTGCTTTTCCTGACGCAGCCCAGGATGCTGTTAGCCAGAAGCCTCACAAATGCATTGCTGCATCATGTTCAACTTGTAGTCTACCAGGTTTCCTGTGTTTCTCCTGAGCCGCTTTCCAAGAAGTCAGCCTATTAGATTGAAGCTGCAATCTCCTCTGCCTTTGGGGAAAACTCAGCTGAATTAAAGCTTATTTCCTCTGGACGATCCTGTTTGTTTTTAATTCTTTCTTTATGCAGTCTTATTTCTCTTAACTGAAATCAAGCACAGATTGAGAGCCTTTTTGTGAATTACTCATCCAGGAATGTATAGGAGATTGAAGTTTCATGTTTCTCTTTTTACATACTAAGATATCTGTGATAATATGAAACTACACAGGAGATAATCCTATCATGTTGTCAGGTTGCACTAAGAAATCGCAACTGTCAGTCACTTGAAGATTTTGCCATCAGAACCCATTTGAAAAGCATCTTAAGCATTTTTACATCTAGACACATTCTAAAAAAAATAAGAAAGAATAACTACATACTTGTTTCGAGCATGCCATCCTGTTGTTTGGTTTGGGCTTTTTTTGAGCCTGAAATTATCACTGATTTCTGTAGATGTTATCTGGTTGTCTTAAGTGTATTACAAAGAATATGAGCCATCTGGCCTGACAGTTTGAATTACAAAAGTGGGTTTCATAGAAGACCCAGTGGAAGTAAGTTCTAATGAATATTTGATTTTTCTTACAGTTAAAAATGGTGTTAAAGAAAAAAATATATTAACCTCTAGTTGCTTAGAATAAATGCTATTAATTAGGTAAATTAAGATTAAGGAACTCAGATGGTGCTAATTTAACCAGCTGCATGTCTGGGATGACACACTTTCAGTTTGCAGTTCAGCTCTGCTGAAAATAAATGTTTGGTATTTTTTCCTGTGGATTAACATGGTGCTGCAGATTAGCCATGAGGGCTCTTAGCTGCACTAATGACACAAACTTCTGGGTCAGATTCTAGATTTTAGAAAATAGTGCAGAAAGTTGAAATGCAGAGGTCATCCAGCAATTAAATTTGAGAGCAAGTGCTCTCAAGGTCAAGTTCAGTGTTCTGCTCTTAGGTCTTTAGGCAGACAGTTATCCAGCTTCTGCACAAGATTGCTGTTCTCTTGGATAATGAAGAGTAGTAAAAACAGGTGATGCCTGTTTGAATATGAAAAGAAAAGGCTCTCCAAGCATCCAAAGTATGCAGCAGCATTTCAGCCGGGAAAGGCATATTATTTTGGGAAGAAAATTGGTACATGTTTCTTGGCTAAGGTGAATCTATCAGATAGAATCTATGGCAACATTATGGAATATGTTCTAAGGAAACCTGGCAGGGAAGAACTCTTGAGTTTGAGATCCTACCACAGGTGCTTGAATTTCTCTTAGCTTCTTCCTGGCAGAAGACAACCAACAGGAAGGGCACTCCTGTTTGATAGAGAAAGGTTGCCTGAAGTCCAAAATGCTATGCTGTCAGAGCTAGTTAGAACCAAATTTGAGCATATTGCTTGAGTGAAAATAAGCCCCTGTTCTTCTTTACTGCCCATTAGTCAGTGAAGAAGTTTTAAAGGTTGTGGTGTGAGCAAACATTGTAAACCATCCAGCAGACAGCGATGAACTGAGAATGCCATCTGCTGTACCCTTACAGAGCTAATGGAGACTTATTCATCCTTAGATATAGCAGATAGTCTAAGATAACAGAAACTCAAGACTGTAATAGGTCAGATAAGTGCAGTGCAAGCTGGATAATCTGGTATATTTTACCCAATTTACCTAATCAAATTCTTTTTAAATCAGAAGTGTTATGGAAGGCTTCAAAGATGCTAGTCAGTAAATATCATAGTGAAAGCCATCTGGCTTCCAAGACTGGGAATGCTCAAAGCATATGAGCTCTGTAAGAACAGATCTGGGAATGCAGCACTATTTTGCAACTCTTTTTTTGACCATCTGAGGACCTGATCAAGAGCTATCACAGCAGCACTGTTACAATAAGTATTAGCATCTTGTAGCGTGAGGAAGGTCCTTAGAGGAAAGGATCAGGGCGCATTAAATAAATGCCCTTTGCTGGCAGATCAGTGGTATGTATTATGGGACAGTAGTATTGGCTACTTCTGGAGCAGCAGATCTTAAGGCTCTTGCAAAATTCCAAAGTGAAAAAGTCAGCTCCAGTCCTAGACAACAGTCCTGAGCATATGATTCTGATCTCCCTTTTTCAGGGATTCAGAAGGAAATAGGTGGGGCAGCTGTTAGTATGCTGGAAGCCTGGAAAGTGGTCTGCCAACAGGTGGATTTACTGTGGAATGCCTCAGTGTGCTTGTGGATGTGTAACTTGTTCAGGATGCTTGTGAACATTTTACTAATTTAAAGTCACAAGCCTGGTATCCTTGTTCACTTGAACTTTCAGTTCACTGAACTCTTTCTTAAGCTATTAAACACTTAACACTGGGAATAAATTTTTCAAAGATTAGGGTCCAGCAAAGCATTTGAGTAGACTTTTTGTAGCCTGCTTGTTTCATCTGTGCGCTGCTTGGATTGAGTCTGAAAACGATTAGCTAAATGCTTATGCAAATCATATGTAAAAATGATTTCCAGATGTGGGCAAAATTGCCACAATTCAAAACCCTCTTTTTTTTTTTGGTTGGTTTCTTGGTTTTTTGTTTGCTTTCTTTTTTTTTTTTTTTGGGGGGGGGGGTGTTAATAATTTTTGTTTCATTTTCCACCTCTTTAATTTTTCTTTATTTCCCAAGTCATCTTAGAATTTAGATGACTTTTAAATTGAGACAAATAAATATTCATTGCCCATCCATCCCAGTCTTGCCTTATTTTTAATGAGCTAAGTACTGTGTCTGCTGTTTTTTTGACATAGTGTGTCTCTCATGTTCTTTTTAAAATCATTGAAGATTGTTCTTGCTTTTGTAAGAATAAATAGATTCTAAAAATGCAATGTGTCCATGGCTCTTGCAGAGGTAGCATTTGACTGTTGAATTTCCAGATGGTGTGCTAAACTCCAGGAGTAGAATTCCAACCTCTTCAGCTCATGGGTTGTTTGGAAGTCATGGTTGAAGTGGCTATAATTGAGGATCTTTCCAGCTCTGGAACCTTTGGTATTATCTCTGTTTCTGCTGGAACTTGTCCAGGCTATAAAGGGTAGCCCTTTTTATATCCAAGCTGTTCATCTGCAGTATTCTCATTCCAGGCTGCTCTTTACCTACAAGATACCTGCTGAGGCTTCAGCTCCTGCTCTGAAGCTGAGATCCAGGTTGAGCTTCCAAACATCGTTTTCGGTGTTTTTCCTTCTAGGTAATCACACTTACTAGCCAAGCTATGTTTGCTCTTATGTTCAAGATCATCATCCTTACCAAAACCAGAATTTATTACTGTCATACCTTCAGGAATTTCAGTGTCAGTTACTTTGTATGATGGGCTCCAGTTTTCTGCTTCTCTTTAGTTTGAAATATATATCAAAAGACTGATGTTTATTTTCATCTTCTTTGACAAGGCTGAAGGAGATCTTAAACCTCTTGTAAAATTCCAAATCTTACTTTAATTGCTTCATAGAATGATAGAATAGAATCATAGAATAGTTAGGGTTGGTAAGGACCTTAAGATCGTCCAGTTCCGCTCCTCCCTGCCAAGGGCAGGGGCACCTCCCACTAAACCATATCTCCCAAGGCCTCATCCAACCTGGTCTTGAACACTGCCAGGGATGGAGCATTCACAGCCTCCCTGGACAACCCATTCCAGTGCCTCACCACCCTAACAGGAAACAATTTCCTCCTTATATCAAATCTAAACTTCCCCTGTTTAAGTTTTAACCCGTTACCCCTTGTCCTGTCACTACAGTCCCTAATGAAGAGTCCCTCCCCAGCATTCCTATAGCCCCCCTTCAGGTACTGGAAGGCTGCTATGAGGTCTCCACGCAGCCTTCTCTTCTTCAGGCTGAACAGCCCCAGCTTTCTCAGCCTGTCTTCATATGGGAGGTGCTCCAGTCCCCTGATCATCCTCGTGGCTTCCTCTGGACTTGTTCCAACAGTTCCATGGCCTTTTTATGTTGAGGACACCAAAACTGCACACAGTGATCCAGGTGAGGTCTCACGAGAGCAGAGTAGAGGGGCGGGATCACCTCCTTCGACCTGCTGGTCACACTCCTTTTCATGTAGCCCAGGGTACAGGGGTTTCTGGGCTGCAAGCGCACACTGCAGCCGGCTCATGTTCATTTTCTCATTGACCAGCACCCCCAAGTCCTTCTCCACAGGGCTGCTCTGAATCTCTTCTCTGCCCAACCTGTAGCTGGGCCTGGGATTACTCCAACCCAGGTGTAGGACCTTGCACTTGGCATGGTGTGGTTGACATCAGCCCACCTCACAAGCGTGTTGAGGTCCCTCTGGATGGCATTCCTTCCCTCCAGCGTATCAACCGAACCACACAGCTTGGTGTCATCGGCAAAGTTGCTGAGGGCACACTCAATCCCACTGTCCATGTCAGCGACGAAGATGTTGAACAAGACCAGTCCCAACACCGATCCCTGAGGGACACCATGTTGAAAGTTGGTGAATTAGGGTATTTTGCTTGCTTACAAGTTTCTTCTCCATAGCTGATTTATATTATTTATGGGGTTTTTAGGACTTCCTTTGGAATTTTTGTCTGTATTTTAATCACTGGAAAAGACAAAAAGGGGAAGTGACCCTCAGTCACAAAAGGAAGAGTGGCAATGTAAACTTGAGTAACAAGCAGGATGACAGTGACAGCAGCAAGAAATGTAGATTTTTAACAGATCTAGTAAGAGGTTTATTAGGAAGGTAGTTTGGCCATGTTAATCTAAATGGAAAATAATTCTGTTTAATATTATTTGACTGATTATTTTATTTATTTATTATATAAATAATATATATATTATTTATATATATAAAAATATATATAAAATATTATTTTTTATATGACTGATTATTTTAAATCTAGCAGTGTAACAGTAAACTGAGCTATAGATGTATTATTTTTAGAGACCATGGATTACTTGTCTTGATGTAATATTTCATATTAGGAGCTGCAGTATGCAAAGCAACAGCATCCCTCAAGGATATCTTCTCTAATTGTCTGCTCTCGCTTAAAGGATGAAGAAGCTCCAAGCGGATGTGGGGAAAAGATGATATTACCATCCACTGAGGTACAGTGTAGTTTTATCATCAGTGTAATTTGCCTTCAGTTGGAATTTTCAATTGCATTTGTTCAGCAGTCATCTCCTGGAAGACTTAAAAATATATGCTTTTTTTTTTTAATTATGCATTGTTCCTGTAGAAAATAGTATTTGTTAACACTTACTAAACGTGGGTTTCTCAGTCACTTTCATGATGTCGTAATTAATCTTCTTGTACGAACTTTCAAAATTAAAAATAATAATTTTCTTTTGACTTGCCTCTTGCTGAAACTTTCTATCTTCCCAAGACCAAGATGCCAATTTTCACATGTATTTGACATGAAAAGTATGCATCTCTGTGAGAGTGTGTTTGAATTTGAACAGGTTCAACTAGATTTGTCCATTGAAAATCATGGGCCAAAGCAACAAAAGGCAGATACATTCTTAAAGATTGTTCAAAGTCAGCCACCCAGGCAGAGTCCTAGTCAAGCCCTGCAGGTCCAGCTTTCTTCATCTAGAGCACATAATTTCTGTCAAGGTATGTGGCAAACTTTAGAAAAGGGATCAAGCTCCTCTGTTCGCAGTCCCTAGAACAGTCACCAACCTAAGAATGTTTTATAAAGTAATTAACAGTACTTGACTCTTCCAGAATAATGGAAGTACGGTAGCAGATTCTGCCACCTTCCACAAAATTTTTACATGACTGCTACTGTTGTTACAGTCCTGTAATCAGAATCTGAAGATCTAATGAGTTTACTTGAAGTGAATTTTACAGTTGCAAGCAGTAGTAAGAATTAAGAGGAACACATATGTATCTCTCAATGGTTTTAATGCCATTGTTGCAAATACTTCACCCCTTTTATTAAATACTCCTGGAAAATGCAAATATTCTTCTGTTTTGATAAAGTCTAAAACTTATCTGGGGCAGATATGAAAGCATCTGTCTGAGAACTGCACGCTTTGTTTGTTGCCAAGTGACTGATGGATCAAATTGTAATTTGGCAAATCCTTGCTCAATCATTATTTTTGTGTCATGTTAATAGCTACAACACTGCTTAGTATGCTAAGACCCAAAGGCCAAAGGTGAGATCGTGGGCATAATGTGGTATATGCTGTGGACACACAGTGAGCTAGGCATTGTTATTCACTAGAATTGTATAGTCCAATAGGGAATTTTAGCAGAAGTGCCACTTTTAAGGTATGTGCAGTAAACTGTAGCTTTTTCACAGGCAAATGGAAAGGAAACTTTTTATTGGTAGTCATTATCTTAAGTAGTGTATTGCAGGTGACTCTCATGTCTCCCAAACTTTTGGCATGTTCATGAAGTAATTCATCATCAGCAAAACTTTGGAAAACTCCTGTGGATGGGACAAAAAGTAATGGCCTTAAATTATAATACTGGAAAAACTTAAAGGATGGCTAATAATGAAGTGTTCCCCAGAAGTATTGTGGACTCTTTCTTATTAAAGGTCTTTATAAACAGATGGATAAACATTTCTCCAGAATGTTCCAAGTACAGGTGACTTTCATTTTTTCGTAAGAGACACAGCATTCAATAAGTTGTTTCTTACAGTGCTGTGGGGCATGTGTGAATTGTTTGGGGTTTTTTGTTTTGATATTTTTTATCATCATCATTATTCCTGAGATCTGATGGCAGCTTTGGGGTTATATGTCAGCCATTTAATAACTTTCAAATGAGCTTCATATTAATAGTGACCTGTTAACATAACATAGATACTCAAGTGCCATTAACCAGAGTGCAGGAGCAAGGATACAACCAGTGGGTTAAGGGAAGTGATTTGTTCCCTTCTATTCAGTACTTGTGAGGCCACATCTGGAGAACTGCGTCCCATTTTGGACTCTGGCACAAAGGACTGATGAACTAGGGTTTAGTGAAGAGTGTCTAAGATGGCTACAGTGCTGAAACACATGTTACTTGAGAAAAGCTGGGTTATTCAGTGTGAAAAAGAGACAGTGGGTGGCCCGATTGCTGCTTTTTAACTACCCAGTGAGGGATTTTGAGACAACAAAGCTAGACTCTGAGATGGACAGTGAAAAGAGGCAAGGGACGCAAGTGTGCCAAGATGCATTCTGAGCAGGGAGTCATAAGCACTGTGACATTTCACCCAGAGGTTCTTTCCAACCTACACTGAATCTAGTTTTAAACCAGTGTATGGATGCAACGAACCATCTTTAGCAGCATACAAGAAAAAAAATATTTAAAAGCTCTTTCAAAATGAAGAATGGATTATAAGTGTATTTATTCACAGCAGCAGTTCATTGCAGGGGCAAAGTAACGTGCATTGACAGACCTGTAGGACTGGAATGGACGTAGTGCTGGCAGTCATGATTCATGTGCTTTTCTGTGGGACTGTAATAGGAAGAGTATTTCAGGTCAGGCCTATATTGACAGGATAAGCAAAAGGATGTCTTTGAAACATTACTGATAGTGTCATGCAGTTTCATGCTGCTGGTAAGTGATGCAACACCACTGGCAGCCTTACAAGGACATCAGTTTCTTAATGTCTAGAAATTTCCAGCCACCATTGCAAAACATACTGTAGATATTTGGGGATCTAGAGAATAGCAAAGTGGAAAGATAATACTGCCAACATGAAACAAGTGAAACATCAATAAGGGGGGATATTTTCCTGAGAACAACCTGAATTTGATCTCTGCATCCAGATTTACCCTAAGAATACTAGAGTGGTGCTTCTTGGTCAAACATACAGGCCCTGAAATACTGCATTGCAAGAATAGCACTTTTAAAAAGTCTTTTATGTTGCTTAGCTTTCTCCTCTAGGAAACCATCCAAATGGTATCCGTAATTCTACTAGACTGAATTCTGCATTTTAGAAACAAGATTGTGAAAGCAAAATCTTTTTTGGAAGAATCTCACCTCAGAATATAAGATTTTTTCAAGGATTTCTGCTTCTGATTTTTATCAAAGGCTTGCCTTATTTTTCATGCCTGAGCTATGGAAAAAGATTAAAATATTTCCTTTTTAAAACCGCTCACTTGAATTTAATACATTTATCAAAACCATGGTTACTGTGCGTATAACTGTCATTAAGATGGAGTGACTTGGTATTGGCCTTCCAGATACAAGGGACACACACATAGACTTGAAAGCTCAGTAACAAAAAAGTGTTTTGGAACAAGTTAGTTTGCTTATTCAAACATTTTTTACAAGTTCAACTCTGCAAATCTGTCACACCAGTAGTTGTGGTTTATGGGCATTTCTGGTGAAACAGAAACAATGGTAGTGTGAGAATGATTTTTCTGAACCTGTAAACAGCTTCATTAATTGTTTTTCATGTACAAAGCAGCCTACTGGGACTTGAAATTGCTGGCATGTCAAGTAAGCCCTGCAATTTGCTGTATTTCCAGCATAAGACACAACTTGATGGTTCTTAAAGTATTTGTGACTGCACGTTAGCACTGACTTACTGAAGTGGACTGTTACATACTTCATTCATTTCACCATAGAATTTGGAACTTTTGGAAGCTTCTAAGCAGTCAGAAGGCTATGAAAAATTTCTCTTTCCTTGCCCTACCTGCTGATTTTTTGTTTGTACTTTAGGAATGAGATGGATTTAATAATTTGTATGATAATTCTGCAGATAAGTAGAAAGAAAGGGTTTACAAGGATCACAGGTTCTTTGTTCAGGTGTTTTTATTGCTCTGTGCCTGTTGAAAGAAAATGATCCTGCTGCAGAGGTAGGCAGGTACAAGCCACACTGATACTAAACGCGTCAGTGTTACATGCATAGACTCTACTAGTAAGAAATACATATCTGTATCTTTCCTTTTTATATGTCCTATCCCAGAGGTTGAGAGCAGGTGGGAGACTTTAGTTGGTGATCTGTATCACATGCATCTTGAATGCTGTTGACAGGCCATCCTCAAAAGAAAGTTTCTTCTCAGAGAAGTTACACTCTTTCCTCTGAAAATCACAACACGTGTACAACCATGTGATAGCTTCTGTAAATGCTGCAAGGTTTCTCTATTCACGTGTGGGCTACAGGACCTGTTTTGATTTTAGAAATAAATGTTAGACAAGAGGAGAGGAAGCTTTGTAAAACATTTAGAAAACTGGAATTTATTTTTCTTCAAATAATTTGGCTTAATCAAGTTTCTACTTCCTACTGGAGAAACTTGCTAGTTTTTCTGGAAGGAAAGGTGAACATCACCTATTGAAGTTCAACTGTAAACTGCAGTTAGAATGTAGCCAATATTGTGAAGTGTGCTTTGTGGTACCATGTGAAAAGCTCCTGATCAGCTGTATCTCCTCAGGTCAACAGAGGCTGGGGTCAGTACAGAACAAATAAGGGCATAAGGCAAGCTGTATCTACACTTAGAATGTCCTCACTCGCCTCTTGTTTCATACATTTTTGGAGTAGATGAAACTCTGTATTTTCCATGCCAGAGGAGGTCTCCAGTTGTGGTGGATGGTCCCACTGTGCATTTTGAGAACCCCCAGATACAGATGCAGCTGAGTCCTGGGTGTATAAATCTGAGTTTACATTGTAGACTAACAAAGAATGAGATTGAGCTGCTTTGAAGCAAAGTAACTTTTCTGGTTTACTACTTGAATTTAGATAGGGAATCTTTTACTGTAATTCTCATTGTTACTTGCAAGGCTCTGTGATGTGAAATCCATACACTGTATGGATCAAGAGTTATCTTAAGTGTTTCCACACTAGACAGAATTTCAACAGCTCTGACATCACTGACAGTTCTAAGAGCAATCCATGTGGGTAAAAAGCTGGCTAGAGAAAGAATCTAGTAAAATATTAACAAACAGAAAGAGCACTCTGGCTCTGGCTTCATTCGGGCTCCAATCAGATTTAGACTCATGATTTCTTTTCTGCGTTACATAAAACATCATCTCTGAAGTGTTTCACAAATATTAACTAATCTCCTAGTTACATTTGCTTCATTTAAATGGTCTTCTCCTGAATAGGAACCTGTTTGAGCTGGTGCTCCTTTAGAAGCACTGTTAGCCATAAGCAAATATCTAGTGACAAGTATTTTAAACGAAATTTTCCATCTGGGGAAATTTTACTTTGCTTGTACAAGGTCTCTACCTGTATCCCTGTGGCTCCTGTTGAGGCAAAATTATCTTTGAAGCTGTATCCAGTACCTTTCAGACACCACTGCCTGAACTGTTCTAAACTGTTGATGTTGTGAAATTCTGCTTTGCTATCTCCCAGATGTGGTAGTGGTCTAGGGTAATGCATTATAATGATTAAAGTCCTTTCTCCCAGGCAGAAAAACACACCCAAAGGTCTTCATGGGCTCAAGCGTCCCCTTTCATACCTCCATCTGTAGGTAGCCACTAGGTGGCGAGCTGAACAACATGATTCGACATCAATAGCACGAGTCCCCTAAGCATTGGCTACCTGCAATAACAAGCGCCATCAAGCTGACTCACTGCAGAGGCTACACACACTTGAGTGAACAGCTATTTCCAGGAAAGCCTGAACGTAAAAACTGCTTTGAAAAGTGTTGTGTTTTGACAGTGCTGTGCTTTGCTTAGAGCATTAAACATAGTAGCTTTGCATAGAGCTATAAACCCTCAATAAGATTAATTAATTCCATAGAATTTTGTCTGGACTTTCTGTCATGTTCTGCTGGCTATGAAGATTTGCCTTATCCTACTAATATCTTTCTCAATTTGTGCACTTTTTATTCTTGCTCTGTGATTGAATAGCTCCTGGGATTGAAGCCTGTCATGGTCAAAGAAATTCAAGTAGTACAGTATGCTGTAGCGTATCCTAAGCAAGTCTGTTATCAACTTCTGCTGTCTGCTTTGTCTCTCCATAGGAAATCTAAAGTTAAAATCTCAGTGCCTTGAAAAATAAGGATTAAGTGGCTGGAGCCAAGCACCTGTAAACATTACCTATAGCTTACAGTAAATATTGTGATTGACCAATTCCACTGATTTTACCTAACAAAACCTGTGATAAGACTAAAGTTCAGTTAGCTGGAGATAGTGGTTTTCAGAGAATTAAGTGAGAGGGTGCAGAATGGACTCCGGATTGGTATTAAGACCAGTCTCCCTGCTTCACAACCAGAAGTGTTACTTTTTGACTTAGTCCTCCGTAGTATACACAGATATTCGAGACAACAAAAATTTAAATTTCCACAGTAAATGCCTCCCTCTGTGAGAGAAGATGAAGAGAGGAGAAAAAAAAAAAAAAAGAAACCAAAGAGAAAATGATAGTACAACTCTGTCAAGCCACAGAACTGCCTTTGAGCCCTTTGGATCATGCATACCCAAACATGTTTGCCGCAGCTTTTATGGCTGCTCCTCATTTCTTGAAACAGATCAAACTATTGCAGCCAGCTACTTTATCACTATTTCACAATGTGGGAACAGGTAGGTCTAACTTTGTATCATGTTGTCTGGTGTGTTGTTATTGCTTTGGGGGATATAGATATTCTCTCACAAGGGTAAACTTGTGAAAATTGTGTGTTTAAAAACATCTCAACACAGAGGTAGTGCTTGACCTGAGTAGTTAGGCCAACCTTCCAGCTGTCTTCCCTTCTCCTCTCTTACGCAGTCTGATGCTAAAGGAGAATGAACCCGGTACAGATGAAACAAGGACTGAGCAGGATATCATCAGCATAGCAAGCCCTAATGGACAGTTCTGTGGCCCTAGATGTAGAAATGGGTCTGCTACTCACTCAGTATAAGACTTTGACAGTGTGGCACTCTGGCAGCAGTATATTTAGAAAAAAAGAATAAACCAGTACTCTTCAATTTTCCAGTCTCATAAGAACATAACTACAAAGTATTTTTCTTTCTTTTTTTGAGGAGTGGAGCTTGAAGTTACACATTCTGATGAATCTCAGCAAAATATCAAAGCCAAGGATAAACTTGAAATGCCAGCTGCAGATTTGACAATCAGAGGAACCAGGCTGGAAGCTCAGCAGAAGCTAAAATCCAGGAATTTTTCTTATGCTTATCCCGTAAAACCAAAAATCTCTTCTAAGGTGGCAAAAATCCGCAACTATAATATTAAAGACTGATTTCTTTGTTGTCAGCAAGTTCTGGATCCACACTTGCTATTAACTTACTTTGAAATCTGTAAATCAAATCTAAATATCAGCTTCAATTCTTTATGTTGAGTTGGGATGTTTGCAGCCAGAAGATAGAACAAATACCATGTTTCGTACTGTGAACAAAAAGGGTTAATCTGTGTATATTACTTGTTAATACAGATTTACTTTAATTATATGTGTTAAATGATGCTTGCATCATGGATTTAGAAATGCCCAGTTAATACATATGTAAAGCCTTGTGCTTCTGAGCAGGGCTTGCAGGTCTTTAGCAAATATTTTGTTGAGAAACTATAGATGTGATTTAAGCTTAGAAGTGGGATGCTTCAACCTACTAGTTTTCTTATAATTAACAATGCAACCGTTAATCCTGTGCAGCTATCTCTACTTGAAAGAAGGGGAGGTTAAAAAGATGGCACCTGAATCTATATTTTCTCTCATCTTCTGCAGCTTTTTCCATTTATTTAGATAGCATGAAAGAGTACAAAATTAAACTTATATTGTTATACCAGTAATTATATTCTCATTTAACAAGAGATTGTCTAGAGTTTAAAGTAGTGAAAAACATGTTCATTAGCAACACTTAGAATCATATAGAAGCATTGTAAGATGTAAGTCTTACAACAGATGAAACTAAAAGAAAACTTGGATGAGTTGAGGTAATGAGGGTTATCTATATAAACATGCCAGGACATTGAAACAAGTAACTGGTGTATTTTTGTAACATTTCCAGTAATATTGAGCTGTCTTGGGTTATTATACTGAACTGTGATATTACACTATACTGTGATATTACACTTGGGATATTACACATGAACTTTACTAAAAGTAAAGGAAATACATGTTAAAAATGCAAGAAAAAACTTATTTACTGTGAAGATGGTCAAGCACTGGAACAGATGCCCAGAGAGGTTATGGATTCTCCATCTCTTGGTCCATCTGTGGACCAAATAGACACAGTCCTGGACAGCCTATTCCCGCTGACCCTCTTTTGCTGAGGGATTGGACTAGGTGACCTCAAGAGGTCCAACTAAGTGATTTTGTGATTCTGTGAGTGGTATCACTGATGTGAATAATATTTCTCAGTTGCTGCTAAAAACATATAAAATCCAAACAAGATTAATGAAGAGAGCTACTTACCCATAAGCGGGTTGGGTTTTTTTTCCCTGTCACACTTTTCCTTTTAGAAATGCTTTCCTGGTTCTTTTCGTAAACAGCTGCTCTTTTTGGCATCTGGCAAAGTGGTAGTAATTATTTTGAGAATTTTAATAATTGTTTTTCTGCTCCCTGCTGAAAATGTTTTGTTTTAGTGCAAAGGTGCTATATGATAATCAGATGCTAAATCTACAGTGAATTTCATTGAGACGTTACCAAGCAAATATGACGCCTGAGAGACCTTGTGAGCTTCTTTCTAAATCATTTAATTACTTGAAAATCGTGTCGCTGGATTCAACATTTAACATTGTTCAGAAGCCGGAACAACATGATGCATTCCCTTGAACCAGTCCCTGAATGAGCTCTTTCTGTAGCTCAAAGCATAGTGGTTTCTAACAAGTGCAGGAATTTTGGCCCAGATCACACCAGTTACAGCTCTCTCTGGTTATTCTGGAACACAATGTGTCAATTCCAAAGTTTTGAATAGCTGTAGATAATCCTGATTTTTTTTTTCAATAATTTCCAATTTATTTTCCAATGCCATGTTCAATATTCAAGTGTGGAGATACACAATATTTCAGTGCTAATAGAGTCTGTGCATTTACAGGTGTTAAAAGCAGTATGCCCTTAGAAAATAAAGCAGTTTGTTCCATAATCTTTGCAACACTGCTTCTGATCCTGGAAAATATTGCTCTTCATTCCTTACATCATGGATACAAGCTCATGGGCTGCAGACTTCAGAATGCCTTTGTGCAGGTTTCTTTGAGGTTTTTAAGGATTTTGTTTGCTTCTTTGAGGGGTTTTGGTTGTGTGACATGCCCCCCCCCCCCCCCCCCCCCAGCATATAACCTAGCATGCCTGGTCATGCAGACATCTTGCCAGAAATGCAACTTTAATTTATTCAGTTCCTCTGAGAAACAGGTTTCCTTAAGGGAATTGTAGGTAAGGGAAGATGATAGCTCTTGATTGTTTCATTTTGTTTTACTTGTGATAGAAAAAAAGTAGCCCAATCGTTGTACATTTGTTTCAAAGTAACTCTAAGAATATAGTGTATAAGTATGCTGAAAATCAACGAAGCATTCCTAATAGTAACATGAGCTATTGCATGAATCCTCTTTGGGGAGCTGTGCTTAGTGTGTACTAAATACAAGGGGGAAATTTTCATGTATTTGTCTTATGACTGAAATATTTAGCAAATTGGCATTGATTTTTAGCAACCAGATGAGAAAAGAGTGGTGACAAGGGAGTACTGAAGATGGTACAGAATTGTAGAAAAAAAAAGAGAACCTATAAAAAGGGAATTCTAGCTGATCACAGAGTACTAAAAAGGTAAAACAGAGTAAACTGGTGATTGTTGTTATCAAAGGGTTAAAACTCTATGATAGTGCTGAGGAATAGATGGATAAAGGCAAAAGTTCCACCCAGAAAAGGTCAGGGTCAAGCTGTCTTTTGTGGCAGCAGTGTAAAGCACCAATGGCAGTGGGGCCTTACCCAGTGTATTCAACCCCAGATGAGCGATGGCGGGGTGGCTGCATAGAATCACAGAATAGTTAGGGTTGGAAAGGACCTTAAGATCATCTAGTTCAAAACCCGCTGCCATGGGCAGGGACATCTCCCGCTAAACCTCCACCATGGAGTGAGTGCATCCCAGCGTCCGGGTCCACGTTTGCTGACCGAAAGGCGGGATGGCTTTTTTTGGGTTGGAGTTGCAGTCGTAGGTAATACAGAACAAAAGTCGTTTGTTTAGTTTTGCTTTAATTCACTCAGGGTAAGGTATAAAGTGGATGAAAGGAGCCCTCACGCAAAGCCACCGTCCCTTTTTCTGCCCTTTGGAAAGGGGCATACCAGGGGCACGGCGGGAGCGAGCGGCGGCCAGCGCCCCGCCTCCGGGCCTGCTCCGCTGCTGCCAGTCACGGCGCCGCGACGGGCCCGGGCACGGGGCAGCGCATCCCCGGCCGGCGTGCGGGCTGCCCTGTGGTAACCCCGGGACCGTGCTCCGCCGGGGTGAACGACCGCGGCCTCCGGAGAGGGCCGGCTGCTGCGCGCGCCCCCGGCCGTCCCCTCAGCCGTCACCACATCGCCTTATCGCCTAGCAACACCCCACGGGCCCCGCGATTGGCAGGGCCGCGCCCCCGCCCACACGCTTCCGCCTCCGGATTGGGCGCCGTCCCTGGATGGCGCGCCCAGCCCAGAGCCCGTTCCCTTTGTGCGTCGCTGGCGCGGGCGAGCGCTCCGTGGGCCAGGCCCGCCTGCCCCTTCACCCGCGAGCGGTGGTGCCGGCGCGGCACTGAATCCCCAGTGTGAACACCCGCGGGGAGGTGGGAGAGGGACACGAGGAGGGCCGCTCCCGCAGTGAGTCGGCGCTGCCTCGCCCCCCGCCGCGCTGGCCCAAAGCCAGGCCTCCCCCCCCCCCTCCGCAGCGCCCAGCCTTCCACGGTACGGGGCGGGGAGCTAGGGCTTGGCCTGGTGCCACGGCACGGGGGCCCGCCTGGGTCCGCCTCGGCCTGTGAAGCCCTCCTCCCGTAGAGCGGTTCTGGGGGGCAGGGGCTGGCTTCACCCCGGGGCCGGCTCGGGGCGGCCCTGCCCCGGCTCTCATTGGACTGCGGCGAGGAGTAAACTGTCAGCCCATGTGGCGTGGCCGCCGGAGGTGGCGACTGCTTAAATAGCGGCAGGAGCTAGAGGGAGACAGTGAGGAGAGCGGAGCATCGGCTGTTTGCGGCCGGGTACCGCGAAGCGTCCGTGTACGTCCGCAGAGCCTGCCCCGTAGCAGCTCGCTCCGGAGCTGACGCCAGCCTTCCCAGCACGAAGCTTTCCGCCGCTGTGCAGGTACCGGCGGGACAGCGGATATAGAGCGGCCGGGAGAGGGGCAGCCCCCGTGGGCCGTCGCTCCCAGCCGTCGTGCTGGGAGCCCTCTACACTGTGTGGGGCTGTGGCCGCGCCTCACCGGGCTTGTGGTGGTGGGCAGCGAGCTCGGCCGGGGACCGTGGGCCCGACCCGCACAACCAAAAGGTTCTGCGCCCGGCGCCTTGGTCTCCGCGCTCTGTTGCTGCGGGCCGCTCTCCTACGGCCCAGCGCGGCCGTGCAGAAGAGGGTCCCCGCCAGCTCGGCCGGGGGGTTACCGAGCCTCAGCCTGCCGCTTCGTCCGGCAAGGCAGCGCAGAGGGAGGCTGAACGGCTGCATTGTGGGGCTGGCCCTCGGCCATCTTGGCGGCGGGCGGGACCATGCCGGCGCTGCGACCCCTCACCGCGGGCCGGGTGCGCGCGGGGGGGACGCAGGCGGGGCGCCGCTGCCTGCAGCCCTCACTCGCGTCCGGGGGCAGGAGCCTTCCCGTCGCTCCTCCGAGCTCCAGCGTGCCGTGCCCTGGAGCGGCTGCGAAGGGCCGCGCCCGGTGCGGAGCGAGCGAGCGGCTGAATGGGCCTCTCTGTCCTGGCAGCGAGGCGATGGCGCTGCGCTCTCCCGCCATCTCTCGGGTTAGAGTAAAGCCCTGGCGTGGCAGGCTGAGGAAGCCTGTAAAGGAGGAGACCCGGCGCTCGCTATTGCGAAAGGTGGCTGGTCAGTAGGTGCTAAGAAGCCATCTCTATGAAGGTGCCGCATATGCTGTTGAACTTCTTTTTTCCACTTCTATATAAACCAAGCGGCCACGTGAGATAACCCATTGATTGAACACCAGCCTGGATTTGATGATACGATGCTTTCAGGAGCGTGATTATAATTTCTCTCTAGTTGTTTTTGCTCCTGTTTGGTTTTTATTCCACCTTTCTTTCCTGACATACGACCCTTTCAGATGCTGGATGCATATTTTGGTAGCTAAAAGCTGTCTTTGGATGCTTAAATTGAAACAGGCAGTGTTAAAGCTGTGTATGTTAGCTTGCATGCGCCTTCGGAGAGCAGTGTTGGGCACTTTGGAACGTGTCTTGCCTTAAAAAACAAAAGGGAGGAAAAGCCTCAAGTCTTATGAGCAAAGGTTTTACCTTTTCTGCAGCCTCTAAGCTTCTTGAAATAAACAGAAAATACTCGTACATTGTGAAAGGCTGCATTTAGTGGATGAATTCAGAGGATGCCCTACAGAGAGGACAGTTACGAACAGATGTTTTACAAACGTGATACAGTGATACTGGAGACTTAAATTTTTGTACAAATACGTTTGGGAATCAGCAGAGCCGTGCTGATTCCATGTGCAAAATCTAACCTGCTTTTCTCAAATACTAGCTTCCTAGTCCGATTGTATTTCCTGCTAAGTAGTATATTCTCAGTATGAAGCTCACTGCTGTTTTTCATTTGTCTTTCAGTTAAATCGAACCTATGGCACACACATTGATGTAGCCAAATGCTAAAAAACAAAACAAACCAAAAACCAGAAAAGCAGCTTGTGTTTGCCCCTGTTTTGTAGAGGCTTTGGTTGTTTTTTTTTCTTTTGGAGGCAAGCATTCTAGCACTTTACAGGTGAAGTTACTATTTAATGACAGGTTTAATCACAAAATTTGGAAATGATAGTTGGAGATTAGGAAACCTGGGTTATGATGTAGTCATACTGAAAAACTAAGAAAGCAATACATTTGTCAATATTTGTGCTGAAGGAAGCTTTGGAAGAGTCACAGATGGTTCATTTTATAGTAATGGGAGCTCAAAAAAAGAGCAAAATTCGGGCTGCCTGCAAACAGTATCTTTGAGGATTCTGCCCCACCTTGATAACAGCCATCAAAATAACAGTGAAATAAGCATTGTTCTCCTGTCTGGGAAAAAGAACTGTGCATCAGGCCAAACTAGATTTGGATTTTATTTGTTGTTATTCTGCAGTTTCTTCTTCCCTCCCTCTTCTCCTTTCTTCACTGAACCTTAGGTGGATGTTGGTACAACGGAATAAGAGAAGTATTTTCTTCAGCAGTTGGCAAGTCAGCTATAAGTGGGAGAAGAAATCAAATTTTACGATGACTTTTATATTTTCATGTCCTTCTTTTTCTTTTCCCCTCTAAAAGCTTACAAGCTTAATGGACAAAGAGATGTTTTTGTAGGAAAACAATAGATTAAATTACTGTAAAAAGAAAAAAGTTGTCCAGCTGCCAGGGATGGTGGAGAATGATGACTAATACTTTTCTTCTTAATTAATTTTTGGTGGTGGATTAGTGAGATACTGAAAAATATTTTAAATGCAATGGAGAACAGTATTTCAACTTCAGAGTAATATTAGTAATAGGATTAAGCTAAACTGATACCAATAGGTATGCAATATGTAGAGAGCAAGGTTAAGAAGGTGTAACATGATTGGAGAAAGGAATTGGCGTCAATAAACAAAACAACCTTGTCAAATGGCTGATGTGGGAGGTGAGCACAGGTATAAAGTGATGAAAGTTGTTACTAGTCAATAATAAAGGGATTGTTAGTTATTACTGGCCACCAACCGAGTGAGTCAGCAACACAATTATCATTGCCAAAAAATATTGTGTAAATCCACTGAGGTGGTAGTTTATGCTTAACTGAGATGTCTGTTGGACTGATATGTTAGGGTGGGTATTTGCTTTTCCCTGCTCTTAAAAATGCAAGCTATCTGGGAAGAATTCACAGAATTCCATTAAAGCAAAACTGTGGGGTCAATGGAGGAAAAAAGGTGTTAGATGTCTGGTTGGATCCAGCAAAATATA